GAAAAGTGTTCTAAGCTGAGGAAAATAATGAATGAAAATCTGGAGGGGAAGAAATAGCATTTTAGAGGAATTGAAAAAGGTTAGTATAACTGAGATGTGTATTTTAAGGTGATAGGAGGTTGGAGGGCTTTTTAATCCAGGTGAAAAAATATATGCTTTATAAACACAATGGAAAACTGTTGAAGAGGTTCAGTGAGAGAAATAATAAGATTAATTTTGCTTAAAATATTATTCAGGCTGCATTATGGGAAATAGATTGGGGATGAACAAGGCAAACTCACCCAATATGAAACTTGGCATAATCCAGGAAAGAGGTTATGAAAAGCATGGGGACAGGGTGGGGAGTGAAGAGAAGTGGATGAGTTGACGATCGAGTGGCTGTGGGGACAAAGTTTGGCCTGAGCAACTGCGAGGTAGGGCTGTTCTCTTAGATGGGCGACATGGAAGGAAGAGCAGAGCGGGTGTAGGAGGCAGGAGAAGAAAACAGTGCTGTCGGACTCTTCCAGTTGCATGTGCTTGACAGATGAGTGGGTCTATAGTATGAGTGAAGAATCTGGCCTGAAGATACAGAGTTGGGTGATGCTGAGTTATTTGACATGAAAGCTTTGGAAAAGCTGAGATTATCTAGGGAGATTAAGTTTAGCATAGAAGACAAAAGGGCTTTTTGTTTTTGTTTTTGTTTTTTTTTCTTGTTTCTCAGTCAGGGTAAATCCAAAGAGTAGCACAGGAAGTGGATGGGTTTCCACAAAGAATTCAGTCTTAGGATCTGTCCCCTCCATAAGTGGGTTCTGCCCTGGTCTGGTTCTCAAGTTAACTAGTACACGACACTGAGTAAGTGACCTCGGCGCTCAAACACTCCTATTTGATGATGAGGGCCCTCTGTGTTCTCATTGTACTCTGAGTTTCCAGGACCCAGTGTAATGGCATGGTTCAAACCCTGCCTCTGCCCTTATCCCATACAAATTACTCAACTATTCTGTTTTTCAGTTTCCTCATCTCTATAATGGGAACAATGATACTACCTCATAAGGCTGTTGTGCCAATTAAATGGGAACGGTGTGCGAAAGCTTTTATCACGGTGCCTGAGACATCGAAAGAACTCAGCAGAAGTTCAGCATTATTCATCTTCACATGATTATTGCCTCTCTCAATAGCACTTATCACACTGTGTTGCAGTTTACTTTTCTGATTCCCCTTGAAGCCTGGACTTTGTCGTCTCAATTCCTAACCTCTAGCTCAGTGCGTGGCACCTGATAGCAGTTCATTGAGTCCTTATTGAATGAATAGATGCTTGAGTGAATGAAAGAATGGAGGGGGGGGGGGGGGGGGGGGAGTGCTGCTTTTGGTGACGTCATACTCTGACACAGTTGAAGCTGAGCTCATTTCACAGAGCACAGGCAGGGGGCCAGTACTGGTAAGAGACAATCCAGGATTAGAGTAGAGGTCAGGGATACTGAGGAGGACTTCTGGTCTGAGTAGGGGGGAGTCACAGAGACCTGCCCGCTCATGCCTTCAGTCCCCTTCCTGGACTGGTAATTCTGTCTACACAGCACACAGAAGCCAAGGAAAGACTTGTGACCTCAAAGACTTGGATCTGTGACCTCAGGTGCACAGGACCCTGAGATACTTCCCAGCCTTCCTCTGGAATCTTATCAGGTACCAGGTATCTACCAACCCTAGCCAATGCATAGAACCTGAGACATTCAACCCAAACTGTGAACTGGAATGTATTGGGTTGTCAGAAAAGCCATGATGTATTTTTTTCTGTTTTTCTATACCAAAATGTGTCATGACTTTTCTGAAACCCCAATAGTGTTTAGGGAACAGTGGTCATTTGGATGTTCTTCCTGGACCCAGACTCAGCTGGGGACAGGTTTTAGTTTCAAGTTATTTCCACAGCTTTGCCCACAGAAGACTCTGTGGCAAAGGAGTGCTTTGGAGTACAACTGGCATCCTTTATGTCATCCTTATATTCCTGACCTATTCACCCCAAAGGTGGGATTAGTGAGACCAGAGAGCTTCAGGAGCTCTATTGACCCCTGAACACACTGCCTGGTGGGAAGGATGGCTGGGTGCCTGTGTCCATGCACAGGCCTATGTCTGGGACATGTCTCTGCATGTGTTTGTACATGTCTCTGTGAGTGTGCACCTGTCTGTGTGCATCTGTTTTTAAACATGTCTGTCTGTGCACATGTGTAAACCTACATGTGTGTGTGTGCATTGTGTGTGTGTGTGTGTGTGTGTGTGTGTGTTTGTGTGTGTGATGGAGAGTGGAGCATTAAGAGAAGAGAAAGAGGCCATGTAGGGTTAAGCAGGGTGGGGTGGTAGGAGGTAGTGTGGAGTTAGAGTAGGGTTACTTTCTCTCCACTCCTCCTTTCCACACACACCATAGATGCACTGCTCTAGGCCAATGGCATCTTAGACCTAGAAGGGTCCTGAAGTGCTCTAGCCCATCTTGCAGTTATAGAGTCTAGAGAGGGGTGACCTCTCTAGGGGTAGCAATATGAAATATTTTTTCTGGCATTGGCCCAGCCTCAGGATTCCTTGGCCAGGCTATTTTCCCCTCCATGAGAAGGTCCCAGAGTATCTGAATATGGTGTATTGTTACTTGCCAGTAAAAGCCAAGGGAGTGGCCAGTGGCAATCCAAGGAAGAGGGAGAACAGACCCATCCTTGGGGCAGTGTGAGCAAGAGAGGCTGCTGGGGGCATGGGGCTGCCAGCCACCTGAGGGGGCTGGGGGAAGACAATTTCTAGGTAGGCAGTGCCTGCAGGAGAGTGGATAACTACTGAGAGGTCTAGGAGAGTCTTGGGGACTATGATCTAGGCACAGGTTGGGGGCAGGACGTGAGAGCAGAGGCCCTGAGGTCAGATGGGCCTGGCTTTGAATCCCAGCTCTGCCATTTGCTAGCTCTGTAATCCCTGGCAAATTACCTACACCCTCAATTTACTCATCTGCAAAAAAAGATAATAGTATCTTCCCCACAGATTTGATATGAGGATTAAACAAGATAATGCATTGTGAAGAATTTAGCACAGAACCTGGTCCATAGTGAATGCAAATGAAAGAAATCAATAGTAGTAGAAGGATCTACCCACAGGCTGCGGATGTGAGCTGCAGCCTCCCTCTATCTGTGCTGCCTGAGGCGGAATAGCCACTTGAGTAGGTGGTTTGTAGCTGCTCAAGGGACTGCATCCTACACTGGCCATCTGGTATCACGAGGTGCCCTCTGGTGGGCCAAGAAGGGCTTGCACACCAGGTGGGGGCAGAAGGCAGGTTGGGGGAGAATGTGGAGCTGGAGGTAAGTATGGTTTTGGCTCTGAGAGACCAAATTTTTGGAAATGCCATGTGAACATAGTCATTTTTACCAACCAGATTCCTTCCTGAAGACCTGATTCTTTGCACAACATGAAAGAACCAGACGTTCTGAGGCCTGGGCCTTTCTTACTTGGCCGTTCCCAGTTGAAAACACACCTTCATCAGGATTATTGTCACCATCCTGTGAGGCCAGTGCCTGTCTGTCTGCCTGCCTGCCTGCCTTCCTCCTTTCCTCTCCCTCCTGCCTGTCCTTTCTTTCTTGTTTGCCAGAAGGAAAGAGAGAGAGGAGAGGGAGAGAGGAGAGAGAAAGAGAGAAAGAAGAGGGGGGGAGAGAAGGGGAAGAGAGGGGGGAGGGGAGAGAGAGAGAGAGGGAGAAAGTGAGAAAATATCCCCCATGGGGCTCATGGGGATGGTCACATCACAATTCCTTCTCCATTTCTCCCTCCTTTTGGGATTTCGGGCACACACGCATATGCACCTGGTGTGTTTTTCAAGCAGCTGTGTCTGGGACTCAAACTGCACAGTCAGTTATGTGGAATCCAGTCACCTTAACCTCCACGCTGGTTCGTCCAGTTTTCAAAAATGACAGCTTTTCTTTTAAGTTGTCTGAGGATACCATCCACCCTGGGCTCGGGTTTTTCTTCTCCCCTGACTAACCTGCTGGGCCGGAGCATGGTTCTGGAAGTGGAGAGCCAGGCCTGAGTTTGCTTCAGTATGTGAAAGCTATGCCACCTGGGGAGGTAACTCCGCATCTCCGAGCCTAGTTTCATCATAAAATAGAGACAATATTGGCATTATCGTAAAGTTGCTCGGAGAAATCAGCGATATGACTTAGGTAAAGGGATTAGCACAGTAAGCCTCTACAAAAGAGAGCTGGCTCCTCCTGGCTGTACGTTTTGTTCTCGAATCCCGGTTTAATGGGTGAAACTGCTGCAGGCCTCTTCTTTGTTCACGCAGATCTCTCCCCTCACCACTGAGCGAGGCAGCTGCAGCATGGAGCAGAAGATAGATGGGACTGGGAGCCAGGCAGCCTGGGCCTGCCACTTCCACCTGCCTGCCCAGGGCTTGTCACTCTATCTTTCTGAGTTGTGTCCTTATTTGTAAAATTGAATACACCTGTATGAGAGGACTTCCAAAAGGTCATGGAAAATAGAATTGAAGTACAAGTTGATTTTGATGCCAAAACTATTGGAAATCCGTGCATAGTTTTTTCATAGTACACATTGCTATGAACATTTTGAAGACCCTGCATCTCTATCCTGTGGGCACCTACCCTGTGTTTTAAGAAGGTTGACATGAGCAGGTCACGTTGAGTTGCAGGTCACATGACCATCGGTGGGCTTGCACTCCACAGCACGTGTACCCTCAAAGCCCTTGCTCCTCCTCCTTGAGTTCAGGCTATCCTTGACAAGCCTGTGAGGGAGGCAGAGCAGAAGCAGTGCAGCCGAGGTTCTAGTGCCCATCCTAGAACCCCTAGTGGGGCTCAAGGGCCTGCACAGGGTTACATGGTCTGCAAGGGTTCTCAGAGCTGGCCCAGCTCTTAGTGTGCTGGCTTTTCAGCTCCTTCCGGAGGCCTGAGCACCTCTCAGAATGGCTCTGCACCCTTTGGAAAGGAGCAGGTGTTGTCAGACTAAACCCCAGATCTTGTGTAAGTCTCTCAGATGCTCAGAGTCTCTGCTTCTACATTTGTCAGTTTGGAGGGGTTGGACCAGATGATGGCTAAGATTTCTTCCACCTCTGATGTGCTGTGATGTGAAGATTATTACCTGAGAAGATTATGCAAGTGTCCATTGGCACTAAAGTCCTTAATTAATACCTGAGGTGATTCTAAAAAGGCACTCTAAGCAGGACCCTGTCCTTTTGGAAAAGGGACTTTGCTTAAAGGTGGTGGGTTCACCCATACAGAATGTGGCCACAGACATCCACACAACAGGAAATAGGGCCACACAACTTCTAGCTCTTTGCCAAGCCCATTCTTCATTCTGGGGGTTACTGGGGACCCTGGCGTAGGAGAAGCTCCACCAGTTCTCTGGGCCAAGGCCACTGCAGTGTCATATGTTCCTATCTGTTGCAGGTGGTAGCCTTGGCAGCTTCCCTCAGGGAAAATGAGCAGGCACACACCCACTCAGTAAGTTGCCTTCTTTCTGGGCTTCCCTCTTTCCTCTATGGACCCCCTGATGAAGTTTTGGTAGCACAGAAGAGGTAAAGGAATTGGCCAAGGTTCCCATTTTCAATTATTTTTGCTGAGAAAGAAAGAGAAAGATTGGGTTCATGGTAACAGGATTCAACCATCCTCACCTGTACAAAAGCACCTGCCATTTCCACCCCAGCCCAGGTTGCAAGGTAGGCCCCGGGAGTAGTATGACTTACACAGAATGTACTTGCCTGAACTGTGTGCTTTCCAGGCAAAGCCTAGTTCTCTGAAATGCCAAACTTATTTCAGTTACCATTGCGGTGCCCCATAGTGGCCAACGATAGGCTGGTAAAATGTGCTTACCTGTAAGTCTACTGGCCCCACATCCAACAGCTGGTGGAAAAGGCTGCTCTTGTGACAAATTAGTGTATGTGGTTGGATTCTTTTAACCCAACTCTAACATTCTTTTTGCTGATCCCTCCCCTTGTTTGTGTCTCCTTTCTCTCTCAGCAGGACGCCTCGTCTAAGGAGCAGAACATCAGAGGGCAGGTGGAGAGTCCAGGAGACAGGATGGACCAACAGACACCTTACCTTCCATGTTGCCCATGGCCCAGCCACATCCCGTGTAATATAAGTGGTGCCCACCATGTTTGCACTTTTAATAATTGTTCTTTGTGTGTTTTCTTTTTGGTTTCATTTTTAAACACCAGTGTCTAATACCACAATGGGAAAAGGGAAGGGAAGAAAGACTGTTCATTTGCTCTACTATTGTAAGTTTTTGGATCTGCTACTGACAACTTCTAGGATATTTTTGGAGGGGAGAGGGTGTTTTTGGGACTGAGAAGAAAGAGATTTATATACTGTATATAAATATATATGTAAATTGTATAGTTCTTTTGTACAGGTGTTGGCATTGCTGTTTGTTCATTCTCCTCCCTCTCCCTGCAGTGGGTCGTGGATGCCCTGGACTCATGGTCTAGCTTTCTAGAACCCAGGACTCCCTCCCTAGCCTACCTGGATTTTAAGGGGAAACTGAACCTTGTGCATATGTAGACAGGGCTCTGCAATTATATTGCAGATTTCTTTGGTTCTTTTCTGGTGAAGGGGTATACTGTCCTTTGCCATCAGCTGTCAAAGTTGGGGAGCCATTTGCCCTTGATCTTTTCAAGGGAGGGTGGGTTGGGGCGTTATTCCTGGGGACAAGAGTCCACATCGTGTGAGTAGCCAGCACAGGCACCAGTTCTTGCATGACCCATGTGTTTCTGCTCTCCGGATCCCTCAGGGCCCAGGGTACACTAAGTGACTTAGTGACCCACTGAGTAAATTATCCACAGGATTTGCATGAGGTCAACTTAAACATTTTCATTTGTATTTAACATCTACTCTGGATAAGGCATGGGAAGGGAGGGAAAAAAGAAAAAGATGCACAGCAGAGTCTTTTATGTAGCAGATGTTTAATATCTAAGCAGTGTAGAGAGGGCTGCCCCGAGTGGAGCGCCCACAGGAAAACCTCTCCCCTCCCTGCAAGCCCACTGAAGAGGCTCCTGTGACACAGCTGTGTCCGGGCCAGCTCAGACTGGGTATTACCTCTCCTCCACCTCCCCCTGTCGTCCTGAGCGGGCATCACAAGCCCGAAGGAGGAGCTGGATCAGTCACCTTGTTGGCAACTCAACAGTTGTTTTATTGTTTGTTTTTTAGCCAAAGACTGAGATTCCTTCTGTTCCCTCAAGTTTTCTTATGGGCTTCTAGGCTTTAGGCCAATTCTAGAAATAAAACTGAGCTTGGGTCTTCTACTTCTGCCTCCTTGAGAAGGGCAGGAATAATGACCCTGTTATGGGGAATTGCAGGCCTAGCTTCTCACAAACCTGTTACCAGGTCTCTAGTGTGGGCTGCCCGCTTTCCTGTGCCCAGGTGATGCAGATAGCAGCAGGGACAGTCATGTCTCTGTCCGTGAGTGGCTCTGGTGACAGTGAGGGGGAACTGGTGCCTCGTGGATAACTCTTGGCAATCTAGCTTCAACTTGTATTCCATCCCAGTATCCCATGAGTACATCTACCTTGCCAGACTGTGGACCCCATTATAGGTCTGCAAGGCCTTGGCACTGTAAGCACTGCCCCAGTGGGAGAAACTCAGCCTTCCCAGGACAAATGGGTTTGGGGCTAGGGGAGGCTCCTGCTATGCTGGAGAATGTCGTAGAGGTTGCCTCAGGGATGACTGGTGGGCCCAACCCAACATGGTAAGATGGGAAGGAATCTTCTCCCATAGCCTCAGCTTGAAAACTCAGTGTGCTAGAGCTGCATGGACCTTGCAGGAGACCCCAGCCTCATTTTCTGGCCGGGAGGAAGCATGTACACCCAGAGACGGTGCCTCATTGTAGAAGTTTGGAATCTCCCACAGGGATCTTCTCTCTCACATATGTGTGTAGGCTGTTTTGTGTGGTTTTCCTTTGTGAGTAAGGGAGGGAAACTATTTGTAGCTTGTTTTATAAAAAATAAAAATGGATTCAACTTTGGCAGCTGTTGCCTCTTTCTTTGGGTGGCTTCCTCTGATAGAAAGGCTTCATTTCCTAGAAGGTTTAGCCATTTTTTTTCTCCGTTCTGGGTGCTTCACTTTGATTCTAGGAAGTCCAAGATGCTGTGGATGATGAACCTAGAAGGGGACCCAGAAAGGTCACCAGGTGGTACTTCACATTGTGTGAAGACATGATGCTTTTTGCCCATGCCTATGGTGTTTGTGTTCTCTCTGTAATTCTCCCTCTACCCATGGGATCCCCTAGCCCCTCCAACCATGTTTGGAATGTAGGGAATATTGCTGGCAGAGCTTTGAGGGTAGGGCTGGGGGAGCCCATCCCATGGTGTCCGGCTAGTGAGACTGGGTACACTGGCCATCATCCAGACTACAAGGCCCTAGACTGGGATGCATCTTTAGATGGGGAGCAGGCCCAAGTTGGGTTCATGCAGCCTGGGCCCCAGTTTTGTGGGGTACGTATTTGGGCTGAGCTGCTGCTCTGGTTTGCATAGCTGGAGGACTTCAGGATGAGGATTGGCAGTAGGGGTGGGAACTCTAGGTATTTTCTGGCGCAACTGACATCTTTTCCTTTTGGCCTCTCTCCACACACAGCTGAGCCTGGAAATTACCTCCTCAACCGCCCACTTGAGGACCTTGCCCAGATTCCTTTTGCCATACTCTGCCCTCTTGTCCTTTGCAAGTGAACAAAAATTCCCTTTGCAAAATTCTCCCCGGACCCTTTCTCTAGCTAAGCCTTCATGGGAAAGGGTCTAGGGTATGGTTACACAGGCCTCTCTTCATCTGTGCTGGTCCTTCCTCACTCCCCAGTCCCTCTTGAGCTTCAGAGTAGAGGACAATTGGTTCACAGAGCATTTGCCAAGTGCCAGACATGGTGGCTGCTGTGTTACAGGCCTTGTCATGTTTAATACCAAAACCCAGTGACATGGGCGCTATTAGTTCCATTCCCCAAGTGTGGACTCAGACCCAGCTCAGTTACCTGCTGGGGGCCACTATATGGCAAAGGCAGAGCAGGAGACACCCTCAGATTTTTAGACTCCAGATGCAGCACTCAACTTATTCCCTGGCTGCTTCCTCAAGGGAACAGCAACCTCCTTTCTTCTTTTGTTCTTTTCATCTCTTTTTCTTTCTCCTTCTCCTCCCCCTCCTTTTCCTGCTTAGACCCTGGGGGGTGGCATTTGGCTGCAAATGCCTTTTTTTCTCTAAGACACTAAGGGTGTTATTTATTTATTTATTTATTTTTTGGAGAGGTTTTTGCTATAGGGTGCACTCGCCAGAAAGAGACAGAGAGATAGAAAGCGTGAAATCACCCTCCGGGGGGATGACCACACTGCAATCCCTTCTCCTCCATTCTCCTCTCGGGATCTTGGGCACGCACATACACGCGCCCAGCGTGAGTTTAAGCCACCAGGTCCGGGACTTGGACCGCAGTTGGCTACATGGGAGTCCGCGACATAGTCATTACACTAACTGCTGGTCCCACACTAAGGGTGTTATTAGAGCTACTTTGTGGAGAGGGAAGAAAACTAAACAAGGGTATGGGGAATGGAAATAAGGCACTGTTCCTGCAGAAGCTCACCAAGAGATTTGGGATTGACCTTGCCTCCAGCAGAGAGACTGAGCCTAGCATGGGAAGAGCACAGGTCTGAGCTCACACTTGATGACAGGGTGAGCCTGCGGCCCAGCCCTGCCTTTCTCTGTTTTCTCCAAGGACAGCAGGAACAAGAGTCAAGGAAAAGGGCAAAGTGGATCCATGTCTTGTTTGTTTCTTTGTCATGAGGCTCCTGAGCCACACCTCTGCAGGGAGGGGAAGACCAGGACATTTCCAGTTGGTGTGTGAAGAAATGACCACTGCTGGTGAAAAGCATCTTTTCAGGGCCCCAGTCATCCTGACAGAAGAGGGCTCCATCTACCAGGGCTCATCCATGGTTTCCAAGGAGATCCAGGTGGGATGGGACAGTAGAAGCACCAACTTCCTTATAGAAGAAGCTCAGAGACAACAAGGCTGCTTGGCCATTTACTCCCAAGTTTCTGAATGACCCATAGGCCACAGGTATGCCCACCAAAGAGTCTGAAGACCTCCCCAGGTACCTGACCTTCTGGTCTGTGGCATTTGGCTTCTTCCCACTGTGCAGATGAAGACAAACTTAGTCTTTTCATGTAAAGCCACCAAATCAAGCTCTCTACCCTAAGGCCTGATCAGTACTAACCTTTGTGTGACTTCTATGAATTGGTAGGAGAAGGGCCATGACCTTGGTTATTGCCTGCCTACTTTTAAATGCCCGTGCTAGGCACATAACTCAGGTTCTCTTGTCATTTCTTATCACATCTCAGCAGCAGTCTGACTGATTCCTCTACTTGTCTATACCACCTCCAAGTGTAGCCTCAGCACCCTTTCTCACTCTCCACCACCCCCTTTTCCTTTAACAGGGGGCACTCTATGAAAGCCTTTCTGCCTGTGTCTCCTCACCAAAGCATTGACTCCAGCTATGGCTGATGATCCTATATGTAGATCAGGCATATGTACACCCCAGATCAGGCTTGTCTTCAAGTTCAGGGCAACCCTGAGGAGTCACATGCTTGATGGTGGAGAGAGCATTGCATATTTGTGTGTTCTCTCTGAAAGATGACAGGCACATTGCTCAACTCATGAGACTCAGGAGAGAGAGGATGAGCTGCCGTAACATACACCTCTACCTTGGCAGCTTAAAACACAAAGGTGTTCTTCTCACTCCTGCAACTCAGCCGTCATGCATCAGCTGAGGTACTTCTCTACACCATCCTCACTCAGGCACCCAGACTCCATGCTGCAAAACTGTGTAGGCAGAGAAAAAACGAACCTTGGTCTTTAAGTTTCCATCTGGAAGTGACATATGTAATTTTGCTCACGTTTCAATTAGCAAAGCAAATCACATGGCCAACTCAAAGGGAGTATGTGCCCAGAAATATTTAATGAACAATTCTGGTGACTATCACAACATGGATTATCTTTGTATGTGTGTGTATTTCTTGATGTTTATCTTGATCAAAAATGTGTTAAATAAAATCTCATTAAAAAAATTGTAGTGTTAACATTGTCTAAGAACAAAGAGTTTGCGCTCTCCAGATTTCAATATATATATTACTTCCAAAAAGTCAGTAATATTTGTGACAGTCAGTTACTCCTTTCAGTAAAGAGGAAGGCGAATGCACGAATACACACCTTTCCTTCTATGAGGTCCCAGCCCCCCACCTGAAAGCTACCTCTCAGGTAATAGGCTCTTCAGTAACTCTGCCATCCCCATAGTGCTGGAAACTCAGAGACAGAAGGGGAGGCCCAGGCAACTCTGGGTGGAAACAGTTGGGTGAAGAATCTCAATGTTCTAAGGTATAAAAGTGAGATTTTTGTTTCCTCTATAATCATTGCTTGCAGCTGTGCTCGTTAAATCTGCCTTCCATTGCTAGTGGGTCCCTGAAGACAGCTGGTGGGGTTCTCATTGCTTCCTGGTCACTTCAGTTACTTACAAGTTGAGTTCTCATTAATAGCAAAACTTCACTCAAGCTTGATGTAAATCTTCCTCTCCTCCCTGCCCTGGAACAGTCTTGTGCTGGTACCTTGGCAGCTTGGAGTGACCTCCATTTTATTATGTCTTAGATCTTATGAGTGATGATGGCATCAGGAGGAAGGGAAGGAAAACAGCAAGGGTCTCAACAGAAAGCAGTTTTAACCCTGGCCATTCACTGTGGCAGCTTCTCAGATGAACACTGGCCTTCCCAATGTGTCAGGTGCCCAAATGCTGGCTCTTGTATCTACAGAACACATATGGGCTCCTCAGTGGGGCCTCCTGCACTGCACAGGGCAGATCTGACTCGACCTCTTCCATACCAATATTCCTCACTTTGTTCTAAGGATCCTGCCTTTGGTTTTGGATCTATGCCATGGCTATCCTTGATTCCCTTTCAGTGGTATCCTCCCACCCATGGTAAACACACATCCTGACCATGACAGATGATGAGAATGCAGGCTGATCTCCATTCTTCCTCTCTAGGCTGCTCATCTCTCTCAACTTTTCTTCTTCTGTGCGTCATTTGATCAAGGAGGCTGATCAGAGGGTCTGCTGCATCACAGATGTCCAGTTGGCAAATGAGATGCAAGACTTGCAGCCCTAGGAATAAATCTCTCAGAGTCTCCCTGCTTTTTGGCTTCCAGAGGGAGGAGAAGAGGCAATGCAGTGATTCTGAGCTTTCTCCCTCTTTTCTCTTCCCAGTCATCTTTTATCAATTGAGATAGGAATAGGGTGGCTAGTTGCAGAGCTATTTCAATTTCATGTTAGTCATCCTTGGGCAGGGAGTCAGGCCCCAGATGTTGTCCTTTAGGATGTAAGATATTTAGCATCTCTCTGTTCTTAGTTTGGAGACCTAATCACCAATCCTAGGGAAAGAAAAAATGCCCTCCTCAAAGTCCAGTTATGATGGATTTGGTGATAGATTGAGGGGAAGTTGATCCCAGAGATAATTCCCTTCCCACAGAATTGCCATCTGTGTCCTGAGCACATAGAACCTCAGCAGCTCCAGCCCCAAGAACTCCAGATGTCCGCCATCTTAGAACCCTAATGGGCCTGCCCTAGACAACTCTGTTCTTGGATGCCCTGGGCTCTCATCTCTGTGGGAGCCAGGTGGGACTCCCAGAGGTCCACTCATCTTCACTCCTCACATGGGCCTCGACGCTGTGCAAACACATCTTCTCAATGTCCACCAGTGGCCATTTCCATTATGACTAACCCCTTGCAGCGCTGACACAGTGGAAGTAGTTGGATCTTTCTAAGGGGAGAACTTTGAAAAATGTGGATGGAGCTTTACATGGAACCCTTTCTTTTCAGTCTTTTCAACCTTCCCACTGCCCAGGGTTTAACAATTCACACCTCTTCCTTGCTCAGAATAAGAACTTTAGAAAAGTCACTCTTTAGACCCAAGGGAGGAGACATGCTGGATAAAGCTGACTCAGAA